ATCAAATATTAAATATTCATCTTTTGAAATAATCTTTTTATTATCAAGATATTCAATTCGTTCTTTAATTGTAAGAATTTCTGATTGGAGGTAGGGAGCTCCTATAATTAAAACAGCTCGAGCAAGATGATTTGTAAAATTGATTCCTTCAGATAATCTACCACGAGTAACACAAAATAATATAGCACCTTTACCAGTATGACAAGCTAACCTATAATTCTGAAAAGCAAGAGATGTTTCCTCACTATCATTTGATTCTACAAAAATTAGTTTATTAAAGTAGATAGATTCGATAATTTTCATTTCATCCCAATATGAAATACAAATATTCATATATGAATAACTTGGAAAGAAACATAAAATACCATCAGGTACAGTTTTAGATAATTCTAGTATTAATCTACCATAAGAATGAATAATTAATCTATTTGATCTATATGCATATTGTGATGAAAATAAAATTCTATCTTGTTTTATTTCACTTCCTGAAGTATCAGAACTTTGTGATGTAATTGAAATACTATCAAATCCTTTTGTTACAAACAATGGACAAATTCTTCTCATACTACTAAAAGAAGATGTTATTTGTTTTTCTTCAACAACATTATTTAAGCCAAGAATATTAATATACGTTTTTAATGGACTTAACGTTCCTGATGTAAAAACTATTGAATGAAATTTATTTAACGTTGGTTGGATAGCATTTGCTGCATCAACACAAATTAAATTTAACACACTATGAAAACAATTGTCTTTGTCCATTTTTACAACATCGGGAACATAAGAAAATCCTTCCTGACAAGAACAGAGTAATGCAGCAAAATCTGCAACAAGATATAAGTCATCGTAATAAAATGAATCTCCTTTTACATCCTGTCTTCCTCCATATTCATCTCCAAGTGCTTTAATAAGTAAATGAAGTCTAAGAGGAATAAGAGTAACAACTTCTGGTGTTAATGCTAAAGAATCACAAAATGAATCAACTACATTTTTAATTGGAATTGAACAATGTTCATTAATATGTTGTTTTTTGTGTATAGGAGCTTCACGTAATTTCTCTCTAAAGAAATTAACAATATCTTTCATCAAAACAACAAATTGAATAGAAGTTATTGTATCAATTGGAATGTTATTTTCTTCTTCTATTCTTTTTGTTGGTTCTGAATGTCTAAGACCTTCTACAAGTCGTTTATATTCATTTTTTAAAGGTTTTTTTGATTCTTCAATTGAAAGAAGTTTTGTAAGACGAACTAATGAAATTGTTGCAAGTTCTAATGTATCTAATGATAATGTTAGTGTTTGTGCATCAACAACAACATTATCTACATTATGTGCTTCATCAAAAACAAGTAACGTTTGATGTAAGTCACTCATTTTACCAACAGTAACATTTTCTACTTTAGGATCAAGAATATAATTATATGTAC